GACAATTTCATGAACGTCATAAGCTTTTGGAACACCCTGACATCTGCACGTAGATCCCCTTCCACCAGCGCATACTGGTTTACAGTAACAGCCTTTGAACTTCACGAATGGAGTTCGATGGGCATCTAACAGGGGAGTGTGTCGTTGGAGGAGAAACGTACCTACACTCAATGATAAACAATGGCGCTATACCTATCGAGACACTAATTGCAGAACCGAGCACGATCCGCGCTACTGCATAAATGATATAGCTGTTAACCTGGAAATACGAGACATACTCCAATAGATACCCGAATGTTGAAGGGTAATACGGAAGAAGACACGAAATTAACCAAAAACAACTTTGTACTAACAAAGTAGCTGACGACTTCCAGAGCAAGTGCAATATCTTGAATGATGAAGGTGAGAATGATGCCATTCCTACGACCAAAGTAATTTGCAGTCCCCTTGATCATCACAGCGCTAATGGTGGCTCCCCAAAAAATTGAGGAGACTATTGCTCCCCATGTGTACTGAAACGAAAGGGTCACGCGAATAAACGAGGGACAGAAGTGAAAAGATCTGGCCACTTCAGTATATTGTCACTTGAACAGTATAATAAAAAGCATGTGTAAGGTTCCCAACCTCGAGAGTATCTCGTTTCAGACGTACACCGTGGGTCTCTGCATAAGAATCGTCGAGAAATGATAAGAACGCCATTTGAGACGGGTTTGTAATGAGCAGCTGGTAGCCGAAATTGAATCCACCGCCTGTAACACTTACAAGAAGATACGAAGAAGAGAATTGCTAAATAAACTGATGTCAGGAGCTTTACAGTTCCTAAAGACGAAATTCGTGCTTGCACGACGTGAGGGGCAGACCACGTCGTACGCTGGAGAATCCCCAGCGGGAAGGGCGTTGTATTTGGTCTGAGAAAGCTTTTTCGATTGTTGATTTTTCTTGTTCGACAGACGCTATAATGGGAGGGGGGTCGTATTAGCTCGCTGTTGGGAGAGAAGGGGTTGAGGGCTCCAACCATTTTGCTTAGAATTGCTTCCTCAAGAGGCAGTGGGCACGATAATCTACATTTCCGCAGAAAACAGGATCAGAGGCACTCTGTACGAAGCAAGGCGGAGGCGGGACGAAACGGTCTAAAACGTTCAAAATAAGGTTTTTGTTAACTGGCACAGACCCGTACGCTTCTTGATGCTCCGTCAGGAAGTCAGGAAGTGTACGAGTCTGCGCTTGAGATCAATCATCGCTGGTCAAATAACCATCTGAAGAGAAATCGCGGCCGTTATAGGAAATATGAAAACACATTATTTCGAGCAGTAACGAAATTCGCTGCAATACCAACAGGGGTCCTTTGCAGGAGCAGGGAAGGACACATCGGCGACATTTTCACGAAACGCTCGTCGAAAATTCGGGGAAGTCAAGTGAAAGCCGGAAAAGTAAAACGAGACTGAAACTTCAAAGCGGGCACTGCTTGCAAGAAAGCTTTGCACTCTGCCAAAGAGAAGATTATTTTCGTCACCCATAAGTCTTACCTCCTCAGAAAGAACAGTGAGGAAGTAAAAAAATTACCTTCAGCCGCAGACTGTGAGTGAAAAAAGTTGATCCGACAGTGATCAATTGCTATTCGGTGCGGCCATTTGTGGGCGTGTTGTTGTTGGAAGGAGTCTAGGCCTTGCCAAGATGCTATGAGATCGCTTTCCGTCGGATAGACACCATGGATCGGCGTGTTCATTTTACATGCCTGGGGGGGAAGGCTAATCGGCCTTTTGCCTTTAACCAGAGAGGAAAAAATGTGAAGTTGTTGAGTTGAGGAAATCGGATTACAGCTTTGTGATAGACGCTTTGATGCTCGGTTTGATTTCCTCGCCCAAAAACACTTAGCCTTGTCGGCACCTGGACTGCAGCTCCTTCGAGAATCGAAAGGTATCGTAACGGATAAACTCGGAATTAGCGATGAGAGTTGCCTAAAAACTGGCCGAATCGCGAGTGATAACAGGAGGCTCGCTTTCTGCCAGGTAGAAAGGCGAAAGAATGAGTTGTATTCGTTTCCATACTACGTCGCTGGAGAGTGTCGACAAGTTCACTCATCTCGGGGGTCTGGTCACGCACGCAGGTGATGCTGAAACGGATGTCCGTTCCCGGACTAAAGAGGCAAATGGCGTGTTCGGACCTCTACCCTTGTAGGCAATGCCTTCTCTCTTGCAAGGCTTCGAATTGAAACTGCACGTTTCCGTCGTGATTCCAACTGCGCTTTATGCAAGCGAGACCTAAAGAGTTTCTGACAAGAAAGTGAATGCTGTACACCAGCGATGTCCACGTCAAATCACGAAGATGCCCTGCAGAGACCACGTCACAAATGAAGAAGTTCTACGGCGGTGCGGAATGGACAACCTTTACTTAAAGACAGCCCCCGCGCTCAAGTAGTACATGGTCGTCCTTCCTTGTGCAGTAGTTCAGCCCCCAAGCTAGATACTATCCCACTCTCGCGACTCCACAGTGAGCGAGGAGCGAGCTACAGCCGCTCAAAGTTCTAGTTCTAACGCCCGCCCTGGACCGCCCCACTTGCTAGCTGCCCTCTGACGGAGAGCCGCTCAGTTGTTCTTTGTTGGGACGGCGGGCATTAATCGGAACTGCATGCACATACTTTAGAACACACAGTCCTAACTGGCAACATAATGCTCTTAAGGTAAAAGCGCGTAAAATCAAACGTCAGAATGATGCAATTTCTGTGGTGCAAAAGCTCGACATGCACCACAAGCCTGCACAGCTGCACGTAAACCCCAAATTCGGACGCCACGTTTTTGAAATTTTTTTCCTTTTTCTCAACCGTGTTTCCGCGTGTCATGTCTTGCTGTTTTAACTATGTCTTTTTCGTTTGAATTGGAGTGTTGGTCACATACTGGGGAAAATGCGCAATTAGGGACATTTGCTGCAGTCGCAGGGTTGCTCACGGACCCCAGCGCGGTGTAACTGTAAAGAAGCTCGTGGTGGTGGTTTTGTTTATGGTGTTCTTGAGGGCTTCTGTTGCTTTTTTCCTTCATTGAGGAATTACTTATCAGCTGCTGTTTCATAACTGATCAGCAATTATCCTTGATACGTTCATCGTGCGAGCTGTCTTTGACTGGGGCACGACGTAGGCTTCGACTGCCGCAGGCTTTTTACGGCATGTATCACCACATCAAGATTCTCACTGTGATCGTCGTTGTGGGATCCCCCCAGAGCCAGAAGCAGCACGAGACGCCAGAATCGCCTGGAGGAGTACATTCGAGAACGATTTCTAGAGATCAGGTTGAAGGAGGTATCGATTATTGGAAGACAGCTCATTTCGAACCCTCTGCCTCACTTTTCCCTTACCTTTTGTTGAACTACCACTATTCAGTCGTTAGAAGTTGAAGCAGGGTTTTTCAAGGGAAGGCGCTTGGCCGCGCCCATACCCTACCATTACTGAGCGGTGCTGTTCAACACTTTGCGGCACAAGCGTTCAGGCCATGAGACACCGCGTCTACGCAGGTCCACCCAGCGACTACTAGCGTTCCGAGAGTACGGCAGCGTCAGCGGCTAGGAAAGTATAAATATCGGTCCAGCGTCTACCAGCATGAGGGCGTCTCGATGGTTAAGGAAGTATAGATATCAATCGATGCGTCTCACCCCGAGCCAGCGCACCCGACAGCGTTCACTAGGAGTAGAGAATATGGGGAAGTAGGAGGGTAGCAAACAGCCGGATTAGGCGACGTGAAATTGCGGCGTGTGCAACCGCATTAGACAACTACACTACAGTACAATGGACTGCATGATTCTGTGGCTTGAAGCAGAACGTGGCAGTGTCAGTTCGAAACACGCCGCATGCTCTCACGAAGCCTAATCCAGCTGTTTGCTGCCCTCTTACTTCCCCATACTCTCTCTACTCCTAGTCGCTGGTGAACGCTGGTAGACGCCGGCAGACGCCAGATCGATGCTTTTACTTCTCCCACCGGCGCCCTCGAAAATTGCCAAGGCAGCAGCCTTTTTACTGCACTGCTGAGTCCGCAAGGCGAGAACAACTCTGTTGCGACTATGTTCTGCGGGGCATGGAAGCACCTAGACACGCATGTGGACTCAGGTAATTGGGCGAATTATGCTCAGGCGTTGAGGAAATCTATGTTATGGGTCAATACAGTAGAATAAAAGTCCGCCCAGCAGTCAAAATAAGAGTGAAAAACGATGAATTATGAACAAAAAGCAGTTGACAGAAATTCTCAACTCACCTACGGATACGAAAAAAGCCATCTTGGACAAGTTCCACGAAGGCCATTTCCGCTGTTCCTTCCTTGCATCCTCCGCCAGCTGTTCTTCTTCTTGTGACGGTCTGAACATGAGGTGGTTAACACAAACGTTCCGCCGTTTAAACCATGAGTTCATTTCCACTGCCTTTTCGTAACCGCTTGGGATGTTCCAGTTATGCCACCAGAGGTGGCTTACAATGGCAAATACTCCCGCGCACACCACATCGATGCCCATGAACGTACCGCTGCGTTATGGTCATGCCACTGGTCTTCTCCACTTTAGATTGTTCTTGTTCTTTTTTTGTTCTTTCCGTGGAAGGTGTCACTGCTCCAGGTGTCACTGTTCCGGGTGTCTCTGCTGACTCGCTGGGTGTCTCTACCTTCTCCTTGCTGGGTCGCCCTACTTTCTCCTTGCTGCCCGAACCTACAGTCAACTTAATGGGCGCCTGCATAATGTCCATGACGGCCGTCCGATTTTTCGCCTTGATGGGTGTTTCTATTTTCTCCTTACTGGGCGTCTCCAATCCCTCTCTGCTCGGCGTCTCTACATTTTCCTTACTGGGCGTCTCCACTCCCTCCCTGCTCGGCGTCTCTATATTTTCCTTGCTGGGCGTCTCCACTCCTTCCCTGCTTGGCGTCTCGACTGCCTCCCGGCTTGGCGTCACTGGAACTTTCTTCGCCGCATTCTGGTGCGATGCTAAAAACAAAGTGGATTGACACATGAAGCAAAGAGGAATTTGCGACTGTTTCTTTCTTTGATTAGTGAATCAGCACTTGCAAAATCATGGCTGGGCTCCCTTACTTGGTAGATATCTTTGAGTGTATTTTGACAAACATTATTAGTGTTTAGCCCTTTTTTAGTTGGGAAACGTGATAACCGTCGGGTAGACGATGTGACGTACCGAATCAAATGGAATTCCCTGGGTACAGGTTCCTGGACCAATCAGCAACTTCCGAAGTCAATTTTCGGAAAGGGTGGGAATTGGCAGGTGAGTGGGTAGAACCGTGAGAATCCTCGAGGCTACACTAGCAGCTAATGGTCATGCGCGACAAACCCATCCCTTTCTTCTAGAGTGCCCTTGCAACAGTTCCCTTCGACAATGATCATTATTCGTGGAAGCGAAAACGCTGTACTGTCTGGCTCGCTGCGGATTATGGGGCGTGTCACAGCGACTGCATTTGGCATGCCGCCAGCCCATTTTCGATCAGTTGCTGGAGCGTGTAAGGGACAAGAAAGGATGATTAACGACCCATACGACATGCTATAGCACCATCTTGTCACTTGCTCGCTTGAACAACCGGTGGAGAAGGGGTTTGGCACCGCGCCGAACTTATCCCACCTGATACTCCTCTTCATCCGCAGCGAACTTCTTCTTCTTCTCCAGCGTTTGTCCCGCACTGCAGCAGGGTCCGCTTGCCTTATTTTGTCACGCCACTTCTCCCGATTAAATGCTTGATCGGGATGGGTGCCAACCACCTTCAAGTCCGCATGCAACGTGTCTGACCAGCGCTTGGGGCGTCCTCTAGGCCGCTTTCCGGGAACTTCGAGCTCAAGACCAATCTTACGGACAGTGTCACGCGAAGAACATGACCGTACCATCGAAGGCGAGCTTCGCGCATTTTCTCGGCCACAGGAGCAATACCGAATCTCTTCCTTATGTCGTCATTGCGTATGCGATCCATACGCGTGACACCGGCGGTCCATCGCAACATTTTCATCTCCATGACTCCTAGGCGCGCTTCAACTTCTCTGGTCGTAGGCCAACATTCAGCGCCATATATCGCGACTGGTCGAACGACGGTCCTATAGATCTTCGATTTGAGGCGATCTGGTATCGTCTTGTCGCAGAGAACGCCAGTCATAGACCGCCACTTAGACCAGGCTGCACTCACACGCGCGCTCACTTCTGAGTCGAGACTACCGTCAGACGTAATTGTTGATCCGAGGTATTTGAACGCTG